TTTGTGTACTTTTCAGTGTGTGTTGCACTTCAATAAAAAGCACACTAAAATGATAAAACTTTTTTGTTACTGACACTTGTTACCAGTTTATAAGTCTATACAGGGGCAAAAAGGCTGTAAGAGCAAAAGCTGACTCTATTTCTGTTTATCTGTGGTGTGAAACTCATTTAAGACAGATAAAACAGGACAAATTACTAGTTAGAAGCAGCAGCTGGCTTGAGTTTCATCACAGTATCACCTTATTCAGAGCCACAGCACAGGCATGAGCTGTCCTGGTACAACAAACACACACACATACACACACACACACACAAAAAACAAAAAAACAAAAAAACCCTGTTCTGCACTGGCTGGTGTGGCTCAATGGACTGGGCACCGGCCTGTTAACTGAAAGGTTGCTGGTTTGATTCCTACTCAGGGCACATGCCTGATTTAAGGGCTAGGTAGTGCAAAGGGCAACCAGTCAATGTTTCTCTCGTACACTGATGTTTCTCACTCCCTTCCCCTCTCTGAAAATAATACGTAAAATCTTTGAAAAAAAAATACAGTTGTCAGAATAAAGCTATTAGTGCAACAAACTATGACTGATAAGACTGACCCTGTCACTCAAAACCAATCTATGTAAGCCTCAAACCAAGGTAAGTCTGTGGTGAAGCCAGTATTGGGCCATTTTCTCTTATTTCTACTTAAGCGCATAGAATCATCACACTGAGGTCCAAAACTTGTCTATCTGTATTAATCCTAGTTTGAGAGAAAGATTTTTAGAATTAATTCCCAGGGTCATTAGCTCTTCAACAGACTGAAGGCTAGCTAGGGCCAGACATGGGCTTCTTACATCAGTTAACAGGTCTTTTTCTTTTCCTTTTTTTTTTTAAAGAAAGGTAATTTGCTCCACAGATTGGCTATTTCCTCAAAAGCACAGAAAGAAGACTTCATGAAAAAGTTTTTGGCTCACAGCTCAGGTACTTAATTTATGAACTGAATGGTTATCTAGAAGTAGGTGGCACAGAATTACTTAAAGCACATGATTGCTTCCTTAACCCTTATTTTCCTTTTCCTGAATTCTAACTTCATTCTTTTTCTGACTATTCTGCTGTCTCATCTCACACCATCATCTCTTGAGATCTAATCTCCTTTCCAATTGCCTCTCTAGTTATTAGAATGAGCCATGAACCCCACCTCTGGTTAAAGAGAAGTCCCGCCCTTCTTTCTTAGGTATGAACCCGCATCTTTCTTAGGTATGAACAATTAGGAATGCAGTTATGTCACGGAGTGGAACCAACTATGTCATTTCTGACCTCTGTCCTTTAAAACACTTTGCATTAACCCAGAGATCTGGTATTTGGGAAACTGATGGCAACTGATACTCTCTTCTCTGGTGTCCATAGTACTAGCCATTCAGTATCCATGATTGAAGCACTACACAGGGTGGTTTGCATATTTTCTTCAATTCTCTAAACAACCCCACAAGTAACAAGTAGCACCTCTATTTTTCAGAGAAACAGATGCAGAGTTTAAGTAAGGTCACACAACCAGTAAGCTACAGAATGAAGCCTTGAACTCCCCCCTGAGGCCTGCCTGTGCTCCACCTATAAAAGGAAATAATCCCAAGTCTAACTAGGTCCCATCCCAAATTCACCAAGCCCACATCCTCTGTGAACACATCTTCTGTAAACCAGCAGTTCTAGCACTCACTAGGTTCTTTGAGACGGAGCTGGATGGCAGGGCTGTCGCTCTTGTCTCGTTTTATGCCCAGCACTTCCCGCTCCCACTCCCTTTCTCGGTTTTCTTCTTCAATCTGCCTTTCTGCTTGGGAGCAAATCCGCAGAAGCCTCAAGCAGAGAATCTGGTGCAGTCGCATAAAGATGTACCAGTTGTTATTAACATAGAAGAGGTTGTACACTTCATCCATCCCTCTTAGCTTCTGTGCTGTTGTGTTACTAAACAGTAGCTTGGACTTAGGGGGACTGCCCCCAACACCATTGTGCTTCTTAGTCGCCCCCGTGGCTTCATCTACATCCATCTCTTCTTCTTCCTCCTCTTCTACATCTGAGAGATCACCCCTCTGAGCAAAGAGCAGATCTGGAATGAAGTGATACATGATCTGCTTGATTTTGTACTTGTCCTCCTTCTGAATGCCTGCCTGCCTCTTCACATGGTGGATAATCAAGGCAGCAGCATCCTCCAGGATCTGCTTGTCTTCATAGGCCAGTGAGAGGTGTGGGCCGGCAGGAACACCAGCATTTTCTTCCGTAGCCTGCTCTTGCCTCTACCAGGAGAGAGACACAAAGTAGTAAGTGTCATATCCATGGCAACGACAAACAGACCTACAAGACAACACCATCAGCACATTCAATTATTAACCATAGTGGCTAGTACTTTCCAACCCAAAACTTCCAGAAACAATAAAGTAATGTGGAATATGTAGTTTGAGAGGAAAATGTTGGTACCTTCTAGATTTTGAAGACTTACAGGAAACAACAGGATAGAATTTGGACCATCTTCTAAAATTCTAAATTAGTATTTATGGAGGATACAACATGAGGTCTAGGATTCACTTTAAAGTACTTCTGGGAATGGGAATGAAGGTGTTAGATGTAACAACATTGGCAAAATAGGGATGATTAAGTTTATGCAAGAGCTCATTTTACTACGCTCCCCCTTTTGTGTGTATTTTGACATTTTCACAATAAAATGTTTTGTAAAATTCAACGTCACACTGCTTCTAGAAATTCTCACCCACATTGCATTTATATGTCTATCCATCACTTAAGACTATGAGGTCAAAGAAGCAGGACTACTTTCTTATTCAACTCTGTATCCTATTTCCTGTACTACATATGATCCTTATAAGTATGCTGAATAAAGGATAAGAAAGAGTCTGGGGATCAGTGAGAGGGTTCACTGGTGGGAAGCTGAGACAGACTAATGAATACAATGTACTGCTTGAGAGAAGTGAATGGGGAGAGAGGTGGTGTTGTCAACTAAAAGCAGGAGGGTAAACTGGGAAACCAGTAAGACAGCTCAGGTACAAAGGTGAAATTTATTTTACTTTTAAAAACTTTATTTATTTAATTTAGAAGGGAAGGGAGGGAGAAAAAGAGGCATAAAAACCCCTATCAGTTGCCTCTCAACACCTGCAACTGGGGACCTGGCCTGTGATCCAGTCATGTGCCCGGATGAGGAATCAAACCAGCAACCCTTGCCCCTGGCTGGTGTGGCTCAGTGGATTGAGTGTCAGCCTGTGAACCAAAGGGTTGCCAGTTTGATTCCCAGTCAGGGCACTTGCCTAGGTGGCAGGCCAGGTCCCCAGTGGGGTGCTTTCAAATGGCAATCACACACTGATGTTTCCCTCCCTCTCTTTCTGCTCCCCTTCCCCTCTGTCTAAAAATAAATAAATAAAATCTTTTAAAGAAACCCCCCCAAACCAGCAACGCTTTGGTTTGTGGGATGACACCCAACCTACTGAGCCACAACAGACAGGGTAAAAGGTGAGGTTTAGAGTTAAAATGGTAGAATCAGGAATAGAACCCTATGACAATTACAAAGCAAGAATCAACAAGTCTTAAGAGGGTCTAGCTTTCATATAACAATGCTCATTTCCAGGAATCAAAGCTATATGGAATACAAAGATTGGAGACCTCTCTCAGGGGTAGAGACCTCCAGCTCACCTCATCATAGATACTCTCAATCTCGTTGAGTAAGCTCTTAGACCTCAGAACCTTGGTGTCGTTCTGTTTAAAGTTGATGCCCTGGTGGTCCAGAGACTTCAAGTAGTATTTCTCATTTTGCTCTCTCCAAACTTTGTTAAAGCCCCTCTGAGCTTCTCGCCATTCTTCCTCTTTCATCTTCAACCTAGTAGGGTGTGGAAGTGGGGTGGAAACAACAAGGTGGGGAATCAATCTCTCTGGACTGGAATCCTGGCTTTGCTGCACTAGCCTTAGACAGGCTAGTATATAGCCAAGTACATGCTGTACTTTCCTTACCAGTGAAATACAGGAGTCAGAAGTCACATTTATTTCAAAAGTCAAAAAGATGTATAATATGCCTGTCAAAATTTTTGATGGCTTAATAAATAAGCGAAGTCTTTAATTCCGTTACATGAGAAAATTACTCATTCAAGATTTGAGAAAGGAATTTGTCCCAAAGTCAGAAATCCTACCTAGAATAGTTTTTTCTTAAACAGCAGTCCATGGAATAGCCTTAAAAGAAGGAGTTCTCATCCTTGGCCAGCCAAAACAAAGTTAAACAAATTTGTTTGTTACAGAACCTCTAAGAATGTTTACTATGCTAAAGTAAATGCAAAAGTCCAAGAGTAGAGCGCCTGTACAGTAATGTTTTAGACAGTTTGGGAAGTTCTGATGAGAACAACTGACCCTCCAGATGAGGAGAGGAGAGTAAAATAAAAACTAACACAGGAACTGAATATCTCAAAGCCAAAAGTTAAATGCTACTGGCAAAAAGAGAAATAACCTGTGGTAGCATTTGAGGAGAAGACTCGAGGGGAACACTAAAACTGGAGCATCTGTGCAGCAGACAAGAATTCCTTTTCACCAGGTGATAGATACTGAGTGAGCACCAAGCTCTTAGCTGGGATTCACACTGGTCCAGAGTGCTGTGGACTTGGAGGAACCTGGGGCTCAGCCCCGATTCGAGCCTCTCCTTGATGCCTGATCACAGATGGGCACAAAAGCCCCTTTGCAACTCACGCAGAAAGCTTATTAGGAGAAAGAATAAGAAATTCTTGTAAAAATCACCACCTAAGTCTTTTTAAATAATGCATATTAATTTTACAAAGGCAAAGGGTGACTCTTCTTAAAAAATCAAAGATGTTACAATGGTTAGTATTGAACACCAGGGAAGATGGATGGTGGTTTTCTTCTTTGTTCTTTTCTATACTTAAAGCATGGCCTCAAACACAGAGCAATCCACTATGGCCTTTCAAGGTTTGTCCTCTCTATTGCTGGTTACACAGAACCCCATCAAGAACCTCCGCCAGCATGCTCGCTTCAGCAGTACATACACTAAAACTGGAATGACACAGAAAAGAGTAGGAGGACCCTCGAGTGAGAATAACATGCAAATGTGTGAAGCATTATATATTTTATATATATAATTTACTCAATATATATATATATAAAAAAGAAGCCTCACTATCCCAAGCTGTACCTGATTTCTGACAACCAGATTGGGGAGAAATGGAGATACCATAGTCAAAAAGAAGTTTTATTTAATGGGACATCCTGAAGCACACAAGAGCACAAAGGGCACATTTGCTCAGATACCTTTTAAGGACAATGGGGACGGCAATGGAGGGGTTCTTCCTCAGACCATCAATGATGTCAGCTGCTTTGTCAGCATATATCCTCTGGAGTGCTTTCCGATGGATGACTTCTGACGTGCCCCCAAGGGTGTTGTCCAAGCGAAACTTGGCTTGTTCCTCAGCAGACAGGCGGGAGAGCTTCTTCTGTATTGCTTCCAAAACCCGGATTGTTGCCAGATTGGTCTCTAAAACTACATCAAGCTGAGGGGAAGAAAAAAAAAAAAGACAAAGTGTGCTCAGGACCCAAACCAGAATAGAATAGTAAGCCAGGAGTATTAAGGTGAGATATCAAATTCCCTGGAAGGGAGTCCTGGCTCTGCCGCAATAGTCACAGAAGACTCTTTTCTCACCAGTAAATTAGGGATAATAGTACCTACTCTCATAAGGTGATTTTCTTGATCAAATGATATAATTCACATGAATGGTTGTGCAATGCCTAGCACATACCAAAATTCAATAAATGACCAATAAGTGGTAGTCATTACTTCTGCCACCGCCAGTGTGCTTGGTTTAGGACTACTAACCCCAGATTAGAAGGCCCTAAAAGGAAGCAACCTTACAAACACTATTCCCTGAACTTTCCTGAACTGCTAAGATGTTACAAACAACAACAACAAAAACCCCAACCCCCCCCAAACAAACAAACAATCCCAAAGAGACAATTCAAGATAATTCTCAGTCTTACAAGAAAAAAATTTCAGGGTAACTTGAAATATTTAAATATTTAATGGCCTTGTTCACATATCATTCCTTAACAACTTCAATGTTGCATATGTGGAGACCCATTTAAATCCTTCCTGAACTCCTGGCACTTATTTTCTGGCAAGGGCCTAGTTTGACCTGATTAAGGATATGACTGGCAGCCTTTGAGTTACCTTTTTTTTTTGAACACACACCAAGTTTTATTGGGGGGGGGTAGTATTTACAAGGCAGTTTTTTTTTTTTTAACTGAGTTACCTTTTTTTGTAGCCCTCACATAAGAATCTCTACATGAGAAACAGAAAACAAAGTAAAAAAGTACAAGTAGTGTCAAGGGCCTATGAACAAATGTCTGTAGAAGTTTCCCTAAGTTTTCTAGTTTTGGGACTGTGGTATTTTGTCAAATATTTCTGGTTCCCCCAACCCCAATTTTGGACAAAAGATGTATTGAACATCCTGGCTCCTTGTGATTAGATAGGACGATGTTTGTAACTAGTTCTGGCAAATGAATTGTGAACAGGTGGGTCAGAGTAATGTGTATTACTTCCAGAGCTGTCTTCTTCCTGCCAGTGACTGGCAGCTTGGGCTTCCAAGTAATTCTGAGGAGCAGAATCCCCTGTTAGATACCAATGTACGTGTAGCAAGATCAAGGAATAAATCTGCTTCTTCAAGCCACCAGGATTTGGGGATTGTCTATATTCTAGGATCACTCACCTATTCTGATATATAAAAGAATGTTCCTTGGAAACAAACCACTGTACTGATAAAGAGTTTTTCTAAAGGTATGCTCCTTCAAACTAGCCCATCTCACCCAAGCCTAAACACATACACACAGACAACACTTCTGTCGCTTTTATCGCTATAATCTCAAATGGAAAAAGGAGCATGTTGTCCTCTCGTTTGCATGCGTACCAGCTGAGAACAGTAACATCCCATCAAAAAAGGATGTCAATCTCTGCTAACTCATCTAACCTTACTAAACATACATAAGCAATGCTTTTTTTAGTCTGATAAAATTTTCCATGGTAGTTAACATCTATCATGATTTACTTTTCTGCAAATAGCTGAAGCTCTTCATTAACCCTGGGGCAGAGATGGCCAAGTAACATAGTTCTTCACTTACAACATGCCCAAGACAGCTGGAATGAGTGTGGAGTAACTGGCAGAGGGCTAAATCAATGTAAGTTAACAAAGAGCAAGGTATCACCACCCATCCATAAGACAAGCAGAGCCAGTCGGTTTGATATAACAAATACATTAAATAGGATACATGTAGTTTTACCTCTTTAGATACTTTCAACATGCCCTTTTCTTGTAGAAAATATCAGTGAACACGGGGGATTCAGAACCCATTTTCAGCACTCCCACTCCTGGCATAGGGGCTGTACCAGCTCATTTATTCACTCAAGCTACTTCCCAACCACTTTAAAATAAAGTTCCTACTTTAACTTTCTTTCAAAAGGTACCACATCAACATCAGAAATATGAAAGAATACCAGTTCTCACAGGAGAGTTGATTTCACCTAAGAATAACAATATACTTTAAAATAACTTCAAGCAGCTTCAAGAAAGCCCAGTAGGCCTTACTACAGTACTAAGTTTATTTACCATGCAATACATAATAACCTTTAAAATGGAATTAAAAATCCAATTATTCGGCTACCAATGGGTAATTTCAGTTAAGGTTAATGTGGCCTAGATAAGTCACATTTGCCATAAAAATATTAATAGCATATTTAAAAAACTCTTAAAGCATGGTAAGTACAGTAAGCATCTACCACAAAAGAACATGAATGTCCAACTGTTCTGTCTTAAAAGCCGACCCTCACAGATAGGTGTTTAAGATATCTTATTTAGCATTTCCCATGTCCCCAAACTTCAAATGATGAAGGTGTTTGTACCTCAAAGCGTTCGTCTTCACAACGATAGATATGTTCTTCATACTGAGTTTTCTTGGAACTAACAAAGGTGGAGTCCTCAGACCAGGAAGGAAAGGAAACCCAGGTATCATTTAAAACCTTCAGGTAAAAGAAAAATTGAAACAAAAAGTGTAACAAACTTTCTGGTGATTAAGCATTCTCAATAAAAAGACAAAACTCTAGGGAAAGGAAGAACATTTAACATTACAAGCTTCACATTTAGCAAGTTTACAAATGATACTAGATTAAGGAAAAGGTTCTGAAATAAGTATAAAACATTTTCTTTAGAAAAAAGACAGAAAAAGATCTTGATTTCCTCAATGATGTAAATTCTTGACCCCTGCAGACCATTTCCTTCTAGAGAAAGTTAAAGATTTGGTGTTGCTCCTTTCTGGGGAAGGCCTTACCTCTTTACAGAGAGGAGTCCGTCCTGTGCACTTGGGCTGCTGGTAACTCTTTGGGAGGGCTCGATAGCTGGAACCCAATCGTTTACAAGAGGCATAATCTATCTCCATGGCAATGCCTTCTGTGGCTCGTTCCTTCGGAAAGGTTTCCAAATGTACAGACTCCTTATAGCCCAGAAAGTTTTTAAACCAATTAAACAACTCAGGGAATTTCCTGAAAAATCGAACCAAAAACTAGTGAGCAAGTAGAAGCATGATGTACTTATCCTGAGGTATGGCTACCACTATTTGGTGTTGGGTCAGAATTCTGCTATCAGGGACAAATTCCACTGGCAATTACTGCTTGTGAGCATTTGGTTTCCCCTTTTCTTGTAGGGTTCTAAGGTCAGTTAGGATGGTGATGGAAGAGTGCACTGAAATCAGACAAAATCAGCCATTCTTCTGATCAAGAAGAATATTGCTTCGATATTCAGATCATTCTTAGGTTGTCAAATATAGTTGAGATTCTAGAACCTGAACAGACTGGTCTTTATAAACACCCAACACTGCTCAGGGGATGCCCTATTGTTTCATCTTTACAGTTGAAATAGAAGACTTCCCAGAAGACTCCGTCACTGACAGACTTTTTCGAACCAACTAACCCACCACAATCAAACTAATTTTTCCTATCGTATACTCTCATAAACTAAGTTTTATTTCATTTCCATATCATATATCAGGACTAAGCACCCTCAACTCTACTTACCCCAGGAAAGGAGAGACTAACTGCACGAGCTCAGCCCGAGAGATAACCTCCTGGTTGAAGATAACAAGGCAGCGCAGGAAATTCTCATAGGCCTCTGCACTACGCAGAGCCTTTCGGACCTTGTGGAGAGAACCAGAGGGAAAATGGTCAATCAGGGAATGAAGATATCCGGATCACTTTATTATTTTTGTTTTAAAGATTTAGTTTTTTAAAAAGATTTTATTTATTTATTTTTAGAGAGAGGGGAAGGGAGGGAGAAAGAGAGGGAGAGAAACTTTGATACTGAGGATTAAACCAGCGATCTTTTGCTTTGTGGGATGATACCCAACCAACTGAACCACACCAGTCAGAGTGATCCTGAAGCACTTTTAAATGATTAGGGAAATTTGAAGTTATCTGATAACAATAACAAATTAATGTTAGTGTTTTCAGATGTGATCATGATTATGTTTGAAAAAAAAATTATTTTAAAAGAAAACAGCCCTGGCCAGTGTGGCTCAGAGTCATCCCGTGGCTGAAAAGGTTGTGTCAGTGACATGCCTAAGTTACCGGTTTGATCCCCGGACCAGGCGCAAATGGAAGGCAACCAATCGATGCTTGTTTCTTGCATCAATGCTTCTCTCTCTCCCTTCCTCTCTCTAAAAAAAGCAATGAAAAAATGTCCTCAGGTGAGGATAAAAATTTTTTTTAAAAAGGAAACTTAGTAAAAATATCTATGAATGAAGTAATTCAGTATGTGTGATCTGTCTGTGGTGAATGAGAGCACACATGAAAGAAAGAAGTACCCTGGCTTGCAGCTGGATGATGACAGATACGTGAGGAGACAGTTTAACTGTTCTCTTTAATTTCATCTATGTTTAAAATTTTCCATAACAAAAATTTTTTTAAATGAGATCCTAAAATAAGACATTCACCTCCTCACATGATCAAAATTCTCCAAATCCAAATCAGTTACTGAAGCTTTTGTTTCCTCCTCTAACAGATGTTTACAGCAAGAATCTTATCAACACTGTTTTC